GATTTGCTGTTGGGCCTCTGCTCTTTCAGCCAGGTTCCTGCCTCCCCCAGCGCTTTTAAAACAGTCTGTCCCTCATCGAGTGGGTTTTGTCTGATTCGGAAAGTTTGACCCATGCTAACACCCTGCTTTCGTGTTCTAGTGAATCGGTATGGAAGATCTTCATCTTTCTTATCTCAACAACAGGCTCAAGTTGACCTCTTGCTGCAAACAGTCATTACAAGTGACCAGTAATTTATTCTCTGTTGTGGGTAAAAACAGAACATTACCTCCACTCTCTAGGTAGCATTTCTGAGTTTACTTGTTTCATTACGTTGCATTTCTTGCGAACACTTCGCAGAGATTTTCTGTTTAGAGTTCTCTGCAAGTTCATGACTTTTATGAGGAATTGGGGCTCGTTCCTCCCACAGCTCTTTAATGAAAGTTGGCAGCCCAAAGTCCAACCCACATTCAACAACTCCATGGCAGAAATTTCTTTGTCTACTATAGGACTTCCTGGTTTGGAAATAAAAGACGAGGGAACCATCTGTCCCACTCTCTGTCTACACAGTGTTTAGTTTTTGTAAAGGCCGGTTCATTCTTCCCCCTTAGCTTCCCATCTGAGAAGGACAGGGAGTCATTCAGGTACCTCTAATTTTTATAAATTGATAGATAGTTTTCCAGAAAAAAAAGAGAGACTTAGTGACATTTAACAAATTCTGTTGGTTCCCACCTTACCGCTGAGTTTAACTAACTGTTTTGAAGTCCCCAGAGCCATAGTGCTGCTTGTGCATAATTGGAAGAGATAATCACCAGTAAGAAAATATTTCATTTTCCCCTGGAGCTTGAGATCCGCAGCGATAGATTGAGCGGTGTGTTTGACTCCATAGGGACAGGAACCAACACAAGCTGGCTGCTGGTGACTCTGGAGCTTGTGGACATCCGGGCCACAGTCATTCTGCTCTTTCTGGTACATATTTTGCTGTTCACATTTCTGCAAAGTTTTGTTTGGTGTTGCGTCCCTCCACAGATGGACTGCTTAAAGAATTTCATGAACCGTATTTAGAACAGCTTGTCCCAAAATCTGGGAGACTATCAGCTGCTTCTCCAGTTCTGTACAATATGCCTTCCTGAGCTGTATGAAATGCAGCCTTCTGGCCTCTCCTCTTACAGCCTCTACAGAGCCTTGGGAGTACTGCCTTTTTGCTGGCGTTTTGCCGTGTCTACCATTGTCCATATCATGCCAACAGCAGTTTGCTACTGTGTTTTTTTTCTTTTCATTGAAGGCAACTAACTCAAGGGGAAACCACAATTTTTCTGTGTCATCGTACGCCTCTCCCATAGGCAGGCTTCAGGTGCCAACAGCCTTCAGGGCTCTCTTCTTATCCATTAGAAACCACTTCAAAGTGGCTGACGTGAGCCATCTGGCTATAGTTATGAATAAAGTACATGGTGTCAGTATCCTAAGGTACACAGGACACTGAAACTAGAGATATTTTTCACTGTTTGTAGATCCCCAAACTATCAGTGGGCATTCCCTAGTTGATATAGGCCAAAGGAGTGCCAGAGAAGTTTTCCACTGTGTATTCATACCCTGGCCCTGATAAGGTTATTCACAGAGATGCAGCCTTTAGGCCACTTTTCTTGGATCTTCACTTCTATCACAAGATTCTTGTTTTCCTGAATAGTCATAATTATACATGAATTTGAAGTATTTTCTATCAGCGTGTACCTTGAAAGTATCTTCCTAAGCACATGACTTTATTGGCTGTTCCTTCAGCAGTTGAGCCTCAAGTTGAAGGAATGAATTTTGAAGCTGTGATCAAACCTCATCAGAGATGTACCACATCTGTAGCAACGTCTCATCCCTTGCAGACCCTTAAATTCCCTTAATTTCCTCTCAATAGTGCTATTCTGAGATAGCTTTGTCCCAAAACAGCACTTACCTGCATGCAAAAGATTATTTGGCCACATACATAACTGTCTTCAGACATTTTGGTCCGTTCATATACCTGTATCTGAAGACCTGAAGTTAGGATGGACAGGAACTACTGCAGGAGCAACACCTTCATCATGTTGGCTGGAAGCTTCAGATTTTAATGCGCTTCTGGCATAATACATCCAGCCAGGCCTTCATCAGACCTTTTCATCTGCTGTTGGAATGGCAGGCATTTCCAGCACTTGATTTTTGGATGGATATTGTATGTCTGCAGGATTCCCTTTACCATACCATAAAGTCCCTCCTTCTTCCCAGTTTCTATCGGTGTAGGTCTGCCACACCTTTCTAGTGAGACAGGACAAACTGGAGGACCCTCTTGTGTTGAGAGGTAGGCCTCCTTATCTTGTGGTCATAGGGTGTTTTCGAGAGAGACGCAAGTGTTCCTAAAAAGTTCCTGACATTTCAGCCAGTTCTTAGCACTGCTGATAAAATGCAGCTGTTGTCTCTTACCTCTGGTGTAGCCATTTGCTGCACACACACCTCCTTCCTCATTTTTTCCTGTTTGCAGGGAGGGCAGGCACATCCCTCTTGCCCAGCCGTGCCTCCCAGCCAGCATCACCAACAGCTGGGAGTGCTGAAGTGTATCCTCCCTCCCTCCCCTCCTGAAAGGGCCTCTGCTTTCTAAGTTCCAGATACCAACCCGGGGTTTGCCTTTAACAAAGTGACTCCAGCTGGCTCTTCTTCCTCAAACATTCTTCTTTGCCTAGACCAAAAATCAAGCAAAAATGCCTCCACCTGTCTTCTGCAGCCCAGCTCTCATATCACACACTACAAGACCAGCTCTTAAGAAGCAGAACTTTAACTGCAAGCATGAATACAAAAGGGAAGGCCCATCGTGAATAGTCCCCTCCCCACTGCCAGCCTTTATAGGTAGTTGTCGGTTTTGTTGCATCTTCCCAGCTGGCACCAAGCAGAGCCCTCCAGTGACAGGAACAATTAACCCATTCTGTGGCTGTCAAAAAAATGAGAGAATCTGCAAGCTTGCAGCCCACTGTGCTATGGATAAGGGGTAGGGTAGTTAAGGGAGCATGTGAAGGATCTCCTGCAGCTGCCTGGACGGAAGCCACAAGGCTTGGTTAATTCTGCTCTTTTTTGGTCTCCGGTAAATGAGGATTTGCCAGGAGTGTCCACAGTGTACATAAGGTGGTTTGGGTTTTTTTACCTTGTTCCTCCCTACCACCATTTTCAAATGGCAGTGGACAATCTTTATACAGCTGCAAGGGACTAGCCTCAGACTTCCAGAAAATCAGCAGTTGAGGCCCCTACAAATGAAAATAACCAACTGTCAGATCATCAGATTTCTCTTTGTGGCTTTGTAACTCACATCTCAAGAAGGCAGATTGTCTGGCAATCTATAAACTAAGCTACTGTGGTTATTGGAAGCAAAGTTCTGAGGTGCCGCAGTCTTGCAGGTTCATAGTAAGGTTTGGCTTTTCCAGTGGAGCTTTACAGAGCCCTTGGTGAGGTTAAATTTCACCAGCCTCCATTACCATGGAGTTGGAGCCATTTTTCGCTTGCTTCAAATTTGGGCGTGTCACAGTAATTCAGACTGAAGGTCATGCATGAATAAATCACAGTGACTGTAAGATGAAGGGACAAGTATTTTTCAAGCTAGATGTAAAAAAAAACCCACTCATGTTTTTCATCCCTAATGTTGCCTTGTCTGATCCGTTTACTTCTTTGGACATGAATAACCTCTGATAAGCATTACGACAATCTTCTAATGGAAGCCAGTCTGTCTACCTGAGGTAAAAATACAGCGTGATGCATCACCAGTCCTGCCAGTATAATCTGTAGCGTTCCCTTGCATCTTGGTGGCCCCTGCAAGTGGAGGTTTGTGGGAAGGTGAACTCATCCTGGATACTGGAACTGTAAAGCTGTGGTGTCTGCACCAGCCGTCCGTGTGTCATGCACATAGCCCTGCTGTTTCAAAACTTTCAGAGATCAGGGACAAGCCTTTACAGAGATGACTTACATGCTCTGTATCTTTAATACCACAAAGTTTTGTGCTTTGATGTTACCTTATGAGACCTGAAGCCTCCAGAGTACTGGATTTTGGCTTCTCAAATTCCATGTCTCTGGAATGTGATTTTTTTCCAGGAAATGTGATATTCCGAAGGCAGTGCGTATGAACTGCTAAGATCGGGACAAAGCTGTAGAAGACCTGAGAGGCATCCAGTCTCTCAAAAAGCATAGAAAGACAGTTTCTCTTGCAAAGATGAGGTACAGGTGTTCTTCTCCAGTTTCCACAAAGCACAGCAGGGTTATTCTTTTTTCCTGTAATTGGTGGGTCAGGTATATCTAGGATGTGTTAGTGTATCGGGTAAGCTGGTGCCAAATTCTACTGCAGCATCGTGCCATCTGGTCTAGCTTGAAGTTTATTGCATCCAAGTTGATGTGCGCAGTTGACTTTTTTTTTCTCCTAAACAGAAAATATATTTTCACTTTCTGATTTCTCCAAATTATTTGGTTTGCTGGATGATGAAGTTTTGTTGACTGTTCTGTAGCTGATTCTGCAATAGCAATAATTGCTTCCATCACTTTGTGGCATATGCTTCTAAGCAGCCTTCATGCTATTGATGGATGGACTCGGGTCACGGCTTTTACTTGATCATGTTTTCACTTGAATCCTCGATAGGCACAAGGGTTTGAAGTACAGTAGCCTTAGCTCCAGGCAGACTTCCTTAGCCTGCCACTCTTTCAGCAGATGACCGAGTTATTTCCATGCTTACATTTAAGAGATATCTTAAAAGAGATTTATAAATACAACAATAAAGTACATGAAAAATCTCAAAATGTTACTGTAGACCTTAAAGTTGCAACGTAATTGAAAATCAAAAGATCTTCCTTAAAAGTTCACAGAATTTCAGTCCTCAGCTGAAGCAACTGCTGGTTTGGGAGACCAGTTCTTTCTGTTAAGTCAGACAGGTATTAATATTTTTAAATTGCCAGTCATCATTTTAAACAGAGATTTTCAAAAGCACACATTAGAATTAGGGTTCCAAATACTAATGGATTTCATTACTTTTTTTCAGCTGCCCCATGTACTGCTGAGTTTCCACACAAGAAACAAACATGCACGCACATTCCTTTCTGATTTAAAAAATATACATGTTAGAAATGAAGAGAATTTCACTAATGACATGGAAAGGCAGAAGTGCTAACTGCTTGGGACATCTTCATCCTTATTAGAGGATGCAGAAAGAGAAGAGACAGTGTTCTATTTTTATTCAGACCTATACTGTCAGTCATCGTGAAATCTACCTTTTTTTAAGGGCCTCCAACCTACAAGGGTTCACAGTTTGGGCAATTACTAGTAACTAGCAGAACTATATTCTGGTAATCTGACATGACAGATTACAATTTTAAATGCACATACAGTCACAGTAAATGTATAAGGCTGATGAGGACTGGAAAAACTAACTCAATTGTTAGTGTCATAATAATGTCTTAAGTCTTTACAATTTACTGCCTAGTTCTTTTTAACTTCAAGGACGCCTGCGGTAACAGGGATGTCTCAGTGCAAGAGCTTCAGGGCAGGCAATGTATTCTTGAGTGTGTCACACCTGCCACAACAACGTTTGAATCTTGATTATACCAGGGTAGAGAGAAGTTTTAAATTCCAGATGTTTCAAAAAACTGAAAGCAAGCATCTAAATTCCTTATTACTAGTTAAAAACACTACAAGATTTAAGTATACCTGACAATAAATGTACCAACCCAGCAGTTGAACATAACAATCTTGCAGAAGAGCATTTTTTGGCTACTTATTCCTTTTGATGCTTAAATTTTCTAGTAATTGCTTGAATCCTTCCAACTGTGTGTGCCATTTGGGTGGCTGAAAAAGGGTTCTTTGCTGAGATATATCCACCCAAATTCACATGAAACATTGTCCTTAACAAACCACAGTTTGACTGAACAGCAGCAGCAGGAGATTTTTTTTTTTTTTTTTAAGAAAAAAAGTCCTAAAATCCAAGATAGCAGATGGTAAATCTCAAATTGCATGCTTTAAGTAACAAGTATGTGCCTTGAAAGGAAAAGAAGCTTGCACCTAAAATTATACTGTGCTGCCTGCTTTCACAGCAAGAGGACATTTTTGGACTTTTTTTTTTTTTGAGATACTTTTTTCTTTGCACTTCATCTAATGACAGTTTTGTTCTTAAGCTGCTATTAAAGGGCACTTTATATTTGGCAATCTGGATATCAGAGACGAGGACAGGGCATTATTCCTTCATTTTGCCTGAATGTTTTAACTTTACAGTTTTTTTTTTAGCTTTTAATAATGCTTACAAAGTAAAGGGGGAGGGAGGAGAATAGGTATGTACACTTTAATCGAGTTTGGTTTAGACCACATAGAATAACACATTAGAGAAAAAAGGCAATTACTTAAAAATAGTTGTATTTATATTCCACAATTTGCTCAAATACTGTTTTTTTTTTTATAAACTTTCTACAGGATGTTTTAAAACAAGTTCTTCACATTGCTTGTCAACTATGTACTTATGGAATTTGAGGGAAATAGTTCTGGTTGTTTTTACAGTTTAACACATGTACAGTACCAAAGCGATGGTGGTTAGTCACATGCAGTCCATATGGGATTCTAACATAACATTTAATGAGTTTTCTGATGTTGACCACCCCTTCGATGCTGAAGGTAATGCATCTGTAGAAAGCAATGACTGTAGATTTGGGTTACTGCTCTCTGCATCTTCCAGTTTTTCAGTGTTGTCCTCCCAATTAATGTGGAATCTCGTGACTCTGGGATTAGATGCCAAAATATTCCTTTGAAGCTGGGAGAGAAGAAAATACATAGATTATGCAATGTGTACATCTCAAACTGGAATTCACATGCATATAGATTTCCCTCCACCCCTCTTTTACTTTCTATAGCCTTGTATGTATAAAACAATTTGTTTAAGAAGGCAATTAATACAAATGTAAATCTATAGCTACTATCTATGGATCAGAAACATGCCTACAGGCATTCTAATTCATTCATTAACTCAAATATCCTATCAGCAATTAACTCCTTTCTTAAGAGGATATTTTTAACTGAACGTGAATTCAAGGCTGTACGAGAACTCTGCAAGTGAAGTGCAAGCGTTTATTGTTTTAACCAGCTTTTAGGAAAGCAAATGACTACTCCCACAAAGATTTTGCAAACCACAGTACTTCATAAAAATTTTGCATCAACTTTATGGTCTTTGCAATAATTGTATCGATCCCATCAACTAACTGTCTTTACAAGTACAGCCTTTTCTCAAATTAAGTTACTGTGCTTTAGATTGATTTCACTAACTGAATTTTAATTTGTGTACTAAAGTTTTAAAGTAAAAACATTACTTAGATTTGGAAGATAGTAACATTGTGGCAGTGGACATGCCTAGACATTAGTCATATGTTTCACTGTCATGGCTGGCCTTCATTTTCCTTTGAAGACATGCAGTATTTATTTATGCAGCAAAAAAGAAAATGCTCACTTTTAATCTTTCACCATTTTCAAGATAATAGTTAACTCTGGAGGATGGCAACCTACCACCATTGGCCACGCATTATTAAAGTTAAGGCTGATCAGAGGAAAAGCTTGCTTTGGTAATAATGCTGACTTTATTTTCCAGAAAGTGCATGCTCATTAAATATTTCCCAACCCCTTATGCAAACTAACAAGATTTTTTAACCTAGTAGGTTCTATTACCCATCAATTACAATTAAATATCTTTAATAACCTTCCATTCTATTTGTATTTTCAAATTGTGTCCCAAAGTTTCATTAAGGACTTTTTATACAAATACATGATAGCTTTTTCTGCTCTTTGTCTTAGAAGCAGAGCTAGCTTTTTACTTAAGCAAATAAGAGAATTAAGACAAGTTAGTTCTAGGCATTTCTAAATTCAAGTGCTTAAAGGACGTCAACATTCTGGCATTCACACCCAAAATAACAAGTACATGATTTAAATGATAGAAAAAAGAAAGGAACAGATTATAAGTTTAAGAATCCTCAAAATTAACAGTGATTTTGAATTTTGAGAACATCCTAAGCATCTGATCCCTGAAAATTAAGCACAGAAAATCATTAGCAACTTTCAAAACCAAATTTATGTACCCATTCAATTTAGTTACATTTGAAGATCACTTTCAGGGACTTTGGAGATTATCTCTGCACTAGTTGTTGCAGCACAGGCATTATCCCATTCATTTCTTCATATATCCAGTCATATAATTCATGCAAACTTGGGAAATAACAGAATTTTCACCATCACACAACTTTGGAATGGAAGTATGTACACATGTACGTCAGCTTTTATAAAGAGAAAACCCAAGTCCACAAAATCTTCCATGAAAAAAACCCCTGGATGCTGTGTAGAACCTTGTTGGTTTATACAGAGTCTGCCTCAGTAGAGTATTTCACAGGATTTTGACTACTTTTTGATATTTAATTGATTCTCCTCCTCAAGGTATTAGGTTCCAAATAATTCTATTTCACATCATCTTTTAATTCTAGTCCTGGTTTAGTTCTTACCATGAAGGATATCTATATCTAAACTTAATCTATATACTTCCTTGGTCAAGTTGTCTATTGATTGGATAATCATTCAACCTGCTCTTACCAGGTTACTCCTCTTATTTTATACAGAGCTTGTTCTTCAGTTTCTTTGTTACTGTTTTGGAGAAACTGCAGCTCTAACACTAGAACAGCTGGATAACAACTGTGTTAAATTAATATTTAAAACTTAGTTCCAGGTTGACTGGCCTGTTTTTTTGAAGAACAGAGCAACTTTGTTAGCAGTGGTGCAGGTAGAAGGAACCCAACAGTTTATTTCACACAGTCAGTATAAAATAACAACGAAGTCCAGCCAAGGCTCGGAGATTGTTGCAGGCTTCTCAATGTTCTCCAAGTTTATGGCAACTACATGGCACCTGCGGTTTGTCCTCCCGAGTCTTTTCTGTTATTTGATGGCTTGTCCCATGCACTTTATGGAATCACTTGGGGTTTGGTTTTGTTTCTTAAAAACCTATGCCTAAAAGCGTAGCTTTGATATGTGACTAGAACAAAATATGTCTTACCTTAGAAAAATCTGGCTTTACTGGTGGATTCTCTCTCAGTTCTGTTTCGGTATATTCATTGTTTACATAGTAGCCAACTCTAATAAATTCTTGACCTCGATAGGTGCAGGTGATTAACACAACTGTTACACCTACTGCATCTGCATCTGGAATAAGCCCCGGGTTAGGTGCGTCAGCCTAAATGCAAAAGGAAAAGATGAATTAAAAAAACATCAACACCACATGCATATCTAGCAGGGGAATATTAAATACTATGTCTTAGCAGCTGCGTAGTGACTGTATTTAAAACTGTTCTTCAAGTTAACCAGAAAATACACCTGCTTTCACAACATCATCCCTGAATTTAGGACGCTATCCACTAGAGGCAGAATTACTTCGAATACAGTAATAGTGTGTGCTGACATTTCTTGAGAAATACAGGCTGCAATTTATACTTCAGCAGGAAGAGCTGGGACAGGCTACGGTGAGATTTGAGCTGTCCCACAATTTTCTAGGAAAGGAATAAACTCTCTCGCCTCTGTCCACATGCCTACATTTATTAATATGTGTGCAGTTAAATGCATCATTGCTCTAAGATATCTGACATATTTTCAGCCAGGATGCACTCCTAATGGGCAACTCTTACAATCTTTCTCAACGTCCTTAATTACCTTGGCTCTGCAGTTATTAATAATAAAGTTTGCCTCATAAAACGTGGTTTACATCAGTCCCTTAAAATGCTTCCTAACTACACATTTATTGATAAAATGTGATGCCTCATTCTGCCGTAGGATCTAAAGTAACAGCAATCTAAGCATAAACGAACCCACTTTGTATTTGCAAATTTACATGAAGATCTGAAGCCAACAGTGAACACCTGTGTTGCAAGTACAAGTTGGTTTTAACAGCCTGTGTTACAGTGGTTTGGGTGTAACAAATATTGCCTTAGGGCAGAGGACAAATGGCATTAATTCCTGCTGTCCCTCTCATCCCTACTTTTCTGTAGTATTTATATGCTCCAGCACTGTGAAATTTGGGAGCTCAAGGTCATGCATCATTGGCTTCTGCTCTTTGCTACTTTAATTCTAAGCCTTCAAACCAGTCTAGCTTTTTATAATAAGCTGCAGGCACTTTGCAGAAGGATGAGATGACTCAGAGCTCTCAGGTACAAATACACTGGGGGGAAGGAGAAGCAACCAGGGAAATTAGGTAGAACATAACTTCCTCCAGCCCTAAAGGGAACAGAAAATGACCAAATGGCTTTACGCAGGCACAGGGGAATGGAAAAGATGACCAAAGAATAGGACAAGTGTAGAAGTTTGAAGAAATCACAAGAACTGCCAATAGAGATGAAATCACTACTTTATTCAGTAGTCTTGTTCTAACAGCGCCCAGGACCATTTGATTACATTAAATTCCACAGTGGGCAGCTTTAGAAAAATATATTCCACTTAACCTCCATGGAAATCAACTCACACCCTAATGCAGGATTTTAGTTTTGCAGGCTCCCATTGTCATTTTGTTTTTTAATTCCTATGCTACAGTTGTGAACCCAAGGAAATACTCCGTTTTAATGCTACTTAACTCTCAGGAATTGTTTTGCTGAGTAGAAAAGACAATGAACACTGTTTAAAACTGCTTTCTTCTATCAAGTTTGGAACTTCCTGCCTTAGATGTCAGACCTCTTAATTGCCTGAGAAACAAATGATCATACACAGGTGGAAGAAGAGCTTGCTATAACCAACTGATAAGTGAGCAGTTGCAAACAGATATTTCAGCAGGCAAAGAGAGGCAGTAGGATTAACTTTTACACAAAAATCACTGTGATGGTATGCCATTTTTACTCTAGAAATTACTTAAGAATTTTATTAAATCACTCAATGTATATGTTGTCTTGAATTATCTTGCTTTTCCACGATACATTTATTCACATAGCTATTACTGCAGAGTAGCTAAGTTAGTGTAAGGTCATATCCCCACTTAAAGATAGTAAATTATTTATGTGCTTATACTCTCAAAAAGAAGCTTCTGTGAATTTATTACAAATCCCCAAGTGCATAGAGAGAAGAAATCAGGTTTCACTACTTATGTCTTGGTATTTATAACCAAACAGGCCAAGCTGTGGGCCTTTAATATTGAAATTTTTGTAAGTGTTTAAAAAAAAAAAAAAAAAGCTGATCATGTAAGTCTGAGAAACAGAATGGTTTTCCATCTTTCTATAAGTAAGGCTGTTTTCCCAACCTGATACACAGCTTCTTTTCAACAAAGGTAGTTTTATCACCCTTGGTATTTTAGCTGTTTAGTACTCCATTTTACTTGCTGCTTCGGCCATTTTCTTATATAGAAAAATCTCCACCATATTATTAGCTGAAAATTTCATATACTTCCACAAAGATCCCTTCCTGTGCTGTCCTGAGTGAACGCAATCTCTTTTCTTCATGCTCTACACCTCCTGCAGTTCTGTGCTTTGCCCCTCTCCAGCCTTCCCTCGCAGGGTCTCTCTGTCTCCCGGGCTGTTTCAGTTCAGGGAATGAAGCAGCTTCGCTCACCAGCAAAGGCTTCTCGCAGCACTTTGGGGTTTGGTGTTTCCCGTCTAACACATTCGCTGAGCCCTACCCTCACCTGAAATCCAGTGCTTTTGAAGACTAACATACTTTGATTTCTTATGGAAGTACTGTTGATCCAAGGGATTTATAACACAGGAGTACTGACTCTCCTACAGGGCCTATTCCAATCTAACCAAAATGTCTATGTATCTACTCCTAATTTAGCTGTAGTGTCATTTATAACTGGGATACAATTTATGAGTCCATCCTGCAGAAACTGCAAGACCAGTATATTTAATTTTCAAGGCTTTCCTAATCATACAGCCAAAACATGCCTTTTTAGGCACCTGCCTCCTGCTCCTTCCCATCACCATCAACAATGAATCTTCGTAACTTAATTAAAAACAGTGCGTCTTTTAAATTAGAAATATAAATGCCAGCTGGTTTCTCTGGATATAGTGCTACAAGGTGGCCCCTTTGTGGGCAGCAGAGGATCACCTATGTCTGAGCAATTAATGCCGTAAGCTATAATAGCTTGGTAATGGAAGAACTGTTAATAAATGATGCATTTGTTACACATCTCCTTTATTTGTAGTGTGGAAAAATCTGGCCCAGCTCCAAAACCAGAAAGAACTGTTTCAAGACTGATTTGCATGGATGTGGTTGATAAACATAACCTCCAGCTTAATCCTATTCCTTCAGCCTGTCCTACATGAAAGTTTCCTGGAACTTACAGGATTAATCAAGATGCCTTACAAATGCTGATATTATTTTAAAACAGTTACAGTAACTGTGAGAAATAAGAAAGTATAATCATCAGCACTTTTTTTTAAAAAAAGCTTATACTCCAGCATGCATTTGGCATTAAATAATTAAGTGAATTTATAGCATTTGGGAAAGTAGCATGGTTCTTATACAATAAGCTATACTCAGTTGCAGTCTGATTTTTCTGCTCAGGAGCTCTGCTCTCAGTTTACAAGACGAATACTAGTATTTTACAATAGATAAAAAAGTAAGCTAATTGTAGGTTTTATTTAAAAAAACAATAAACCAAAACAAAAAAACCCCCAAAAACCTTCCGCAAGAATTTAGGTTCCCCCCTCACCGACTTAAAATGGAAACAAGAACAGGCTACCAGGCTATATAGTGCTGCACTTTCCCCATTTTCCTTCCCTTCATTATTCCTTCTTAGTAACTTTTGGCTTTAACAGCAGTATTTTATAGGACTGTCACATGCTCCAGAGTTTGGACAGTCTTGACCTACACACTTGTGTCCCAAATGCCTGCTATTTACCATTGGAATTCTATCTAATTTTACAAATTGCTTTGTTGTGATTTAGCGTGCTTAGCCAAACAGCATGGCTGAACATTTGTCTTGCCAAACAGAAATGGACTCTTAACTGTTGTGGCTGAGTTCTACAATTAATTTGTTGGCTTGATCTTCTGAAGGTGTTGTCTACATTAACCTAGTGCCTCCTGATTGTCTGAACCTGCCGCCACTTGCAGTAGAGTTAAGCCTGATGGTGCTCATGTAAACCAGGTAACTGGTTCTCTTGCCGAGTGATCTAGAATATATTTATAAACTAGATTGGTCAAAATTATCAGTAGCTACAGGAACAATGCTTATATCACTATCTCTAATTATTGATACCACAAGTGAAAATATTACCATGGAAATATCAGAGGCAAGAAATATCAGCTCATGAAGAGACTTTAAAGGAAGGTGTATCATACTTTAAGAGCTGACTGTAATATTTTTCTGGCTTGTCATTGTTTTTCAAGTGCCTATTAGTTTGGTACAGTCATCTTTAAACAAATTAACACAACCCTTTTAGAAATAGTTAAATCAAACTTACCTGAAATACAAACATGTGTCTGCCTGCAGGAACAGGTCCTACTAAAACAGAGTCTAACACCTGATCATACTCTTCACTTTCAGCTGAACCCACATAAATTATTTTCCACTCCAAATCTACAGGAAAACAAAAAAGAAAAAAAAATTAAATAAGCAACCCTTAACATTATTTTTATTTACAGTTAAAGGACTTTGGCAACAGGCCTAAAATAACATGGATTTGTCTTCACTGGGGAAATGTATCGATGCCTGCCCCAGTCCTCATAAACCAGACCATCCCACCATTCCTCTCCAGTCAGTTGGTACTGCAGGAATCCTTCTGTTTTCATAGGTTAATTTTTAAATTTTATCCAGAGGACAGGGCCCATCTCCTTGTTGGGAGCAAATGGCTGAATGGGTTCAGCACAGGGCCGATGCCTATATCGCCTGTAATGCACTGCGCGCCTCCAATACTGACTCTCCTCCCAGAAAGAAATTCCCACCCTCCACATACACACCTCACGGCTTAAATTACACAGATCATGGAAAGTAGTTAATCGAGTAAGAAAACCTACTGTGTAAGCACCAGGCACACTAACTGTATGCCCCCACTCCTTCACACGTAACTGGTGTAACTGGAGGAGTACGTGAAACTGTGACAGCATGATTAGATCATATTCTGATCAAAGATATTTTGGTGCTTGGATTTTATCCACATCCTGAAATGGAGTTACAGGCAAAAAAAAAATAAAAATGTAGTATTTAGCTTCTTAAAATAAGGCACCAAAATGAAACATTTCTTACAATTCAGTTTTTTCTAACGTACCCTTCTCCACCACAGGTGTTTGGAAGTTGAAACTGCAAATTAGTACACATTAGCTCTTCCTGGGCAAGCTTTTCACTTTCACTCTTTGATTCAAAAGCACATGCATAAATACACATATAGAACTAATCTTAACAGACAGACTTGGGTTTTTTTTTAAAAAAAGAGGAAAGAAGATCGCCATTACAGAATACTATGACTAAGTCTTTTTTTTTTTTTAAGTGAAATCTTCGCTTTGAAACTGTACCTTAAAAACTTACATGGTATATTTAATATTTTTTGTCCTTAAGAACGATGCCCAGATTATCTATGCAAAAGCACCAACCTGTACTCTATTACATTGACTTTATTAGTATTCTTTGCAAAATCCAAAAGCCTACATTATGGTTTCTTGATGCAGGAATGAACCAATCACAGAAAAAACCCAGCACTTTAACAGAACTTGGTTGCTTTAGGATCCTGTAGTATTGCATCTGTCTTTCCTCATTAATGAATTCTTCTTATCGTGTTTAACATCAACGCAGGTATTGGGGGTTTAAGGAACATAATTAACAGGGCTTGGGAAGGGATTTTACTCCTTTGTACAGCACAGCACAACTGGCCATATACTGCATCAGAGGCTTTATTGACCTTGTAAGCACGTAGTACTAGCTACTACAGGCTACTCATCCAGGACAATTAAGGACCTCTGTTGTCAGCATCTGAGTGTAAGTTACTAATTACAAGAAATGAGGACTTTAAGGCTAAACTGCTTAAGATTATCACTCTATCATGTGCCACTATTCTAGGAGAACAGTATAAAGTTCAGCCTAAACCAGTAGTGTTTAATACTAAAAAAACTGAGTTTTAAAAAATAATTGTTGATTATACATTTAATATAGGTTGATCTAAATGTTGTTAAGGTACCTTGATACAGAATAACAACTTTACAGAAAAAAAAATGGGGGGACTGAAGTTCAAGAATTTAATTTCAAGGTCGGCAGTACACAGGACTGGCTGAAAACAGCACAGTAAATAGATGTATTAGCACTTGAAATCTAAGGCAAGGACAGCATATTTTTCATCGAGTATAGAAAGGCTATGTTTAATCTCCTTTTTAAACGTGAAAGATAGCAGTGCTCACCCTGAATTTACCCTGTAGTCTAACTCCCATCGAGGCGGGGGAAGGGAACCGAGAGTTTTGCATTAGACCCTCTCTAATTCTTCTCATCCCGATTGTCCGGGATTAACTCTAACGTAAATCCAGGACAGCGAGGAGCACATCTCCTACAGCTGCGCGCAGCTGGAAGGCAAGGCCTGACGCCCTGTGCCCAGCCCGGGGGACCGATGCTGTGCCTCGGCTGAGGCCGGGCTGACCGGGGAGATGCCGCCCGGGGACGGGCGCGGAGCACACCCGCTACGGGCAGCTCCCGGTAACGCCTCGGCCGGTGGTAGCAGGGCAGGGGACACGGGGCAGAGGCCCTTAGGAAACCCCCAGGCTCGGGCGAGACTCCCCGCCGCCGCGGCCGTCCCTCCCGAGGGCGCTGGGGCAGAACAAGCAACCCCTCCCCTCCCCGCCACCGGCACCCGGCAGTAAGAGCTGCGACAGGGACCGGCAGGGCCCGCCGACTGCCA